TGGAAGTGTAAATTGAGGTAAATTCAAGGGTAGTTTAGTATTTTTGCATCTGTTTTCGAGGGTAGAAATGGCAAGATAAAATCGGGACTAAATTATCATAGGGGGGTGGTGGGATTTTTTAATCGCAAATTGGCTGATGGAATGCTGCCAGCTCACCGCCATGTCATCAAAATCCCGTCCCCATCCGCGGAAGTAAATGTAGGATAACTGGGACTGATTGCCTTATCTTATCCCAATCCCGCAAAGTAAACGAGCCCGTATAGTATTGTAATTTAAATATTATTACAACATATATTATATTACATATTTTATTTAATTTAAAAATTAGGGGAAACATTATGTCATGCACTCTATGGGGGCCATATGTTGACCAATTCCTGAATTTTGAGAATCAACTTGCACACGGCAATCCATGGCCTTTGATAATTCAATTAGGGCGTTCACGAGCATGGGCAGGTAAATAAAATATAATGTGTTCAAATTATATATTAATTTATCCAAATGTGTTTAAATTACATTATTTCTTCATAAATAGAAAAAGTGCAAGTAACCTCATCAAAAGATATAACGAGACTAATTGCTGGCGAAAACGTTCCAGAATTGTGGACTTTCGCAATAGGTAAACTTATTTGAATTATTATAATATTCAATATTCAATTGTTACATAATGAATAGTGGTTGATTAAAAAATTATATGTTTAATTAATCAAACCAATAATGTTGTATATAGGGAAGTGTTCAATAATATATGATCTTTCCAGTTTAATTATATGTTTATATGTCTATTCTTATGATCATGATCATTTTGTTATTACACAATCTATATACAAACAATAATTGAAAAAAGCTCACAAGTCATAATATCCCCGTGCATCGCACGGTGATTACTAGTTAGTAATAACCAAATTGTTGACCCGAATTTCGTTTTTACCTTGCAAAAACAAAAAACGAAAAAAATAAAAAAACACCTAGGCCAGGAACTTCTCCATTATCGGCCCTATCTCGATTCATCCCTCCACCGCACCTCCGCCTATCCCCGCCGTCGGTTTGCGTGTATCCTCGCGATCCTCCTTCGTCGTTTTGCTGATTTTCAATTTCACAGACTTCTGTTTTTCATCCCCGCCGCCCGAACCGACGCGTCGGCCGTCGTCCGGCTCGTATCTAGCGAGGAATCTCACGTTTGAAATTGCCGGAGAAGGTAATTGTTCAATCATTCCTTATTCATATATGTTTTTTTTTGGTGTTTTATTCCTGGTAGACTTTAATTCCGTATTGGTTCTGAGTCGTTCAATTGCGATCGAATGTGTGGCTCTTTCTTTTTCTGGTGACTTCCATCTCTGGAACTTTTATTTTCTTCTAATGGCACAAGGATAGTTTTTTATTTGAAAAAAAAAGCAAGCTCTGAGTATTCAGTGTTTGGGGGAGAATATATCTTGCTTTTTGTTGCTTGGCAATTTTTGTGATTGTTGACTGCAATTTAGTCCAATTTTATTTTAGATTCGATTTTCCTGACATAGTTTCTAATTCTTAAGCTTCATGGTTATGTTTTGTAGTTTCAGGAGTATCTTGTTCGGCCTTCTTATATTGAGCTTTCTAGCTTTAGTGGTTTAGTTTAGCACTTTCAGCGTAAAACCACGGTTAGAATCTGAAAAGTGGAATTACTATAATAGTAAAAAGTATGGAGATAATTTTGTGTTTTTTTACTCGTCATATGTAAGTTTATGGAATGTATTGATGCTTAATTCTGTTAATTACGTTACGGTTGTTCTTTTTGTTCTCGAACTGGAATTATTTTGAAGGATATGAAATCAAAATTTCATATTGAAACAGTCAGTAGGCGAACTGTCAGATAAATGGTACTTGATGGATTATAAATGCAAACTGTATTATAATTGACAAAGACAATACTAGTATCTGAGAATTATCACCTAGTGGGGGTTTGTATTAGCTCAAGGGTGGATAATGGCACGGACACCAGTGCCTAAGCATTGCTATGTTTTGGCTATTCTGTATGGACTTCAGCAGAGAACTGTATGCTATGCCACTTGAGAACACAGAAATGAACCTATTTGTCTTCCTTCTAAAGATATAAGAGTAAACTGATGTTTAAGCTCTATGCATTATTATCAACTTATGTTTTACCTTCTTTGAATTTACAGTAACACGACTAGAAAAAATAACTAATTGCTTGAAATGTATCCTCTGCTTATGATCCTTGTTATTCTTTATTTCGATTTAGTGAGCCATTAGTCTCTTTTTCTATATGTTCAGGGATCTTGCAATGCACCGGGTTGCAAGTGCAGGAAATGGAAGTAATTCCGTGCGGTCGCGCAAGGAAAAGAGGTTGACCTTTGTTCTAAATGATGCAGATGATAAGAAGGTAGTGCCTGTCTCTGTACACACACACACATATGCTCACACAAAAAGAAAAAAAAAAAAAGAAGAAAATTGTAAACCCTTGCTATAGTGTCTACCATTAAACATCTTTCTTCACGAATCCCCTGAAAGGCAACTTTGACCTTCTTCCAGGATATCCATAACTTATCTTGGTAATTGTTAAACTATCTGTACTGAAACTTTCATCATTATATGCTCTATCCCCATCTATCGTCATCGTTTTTGGATGCATTATTTTGAAACATTTCTCCTATCATGTTAAATTTCTTGGTTTTATAGACAACTTTTGGTGTTATCCAATTTAACATAACGCTTTGTTGTGTCAGTGGTTCATAAGTTTCTAATTGAAGAGCACTTATGACTTCTAAACCTTGAGTTTGAAGTTAGATTACGAAATGATATTTGTGAATTATCATCATTATCCTGCATATTTTTATCAAAAACAAAATGTGAAGCATGATATGTCTGGGTTTCTTATAGAAACTAGTTTATATCTATTTATTATTTTATCATTTGCAGCATTGTGCTGGTATAAACTGTTTGGCTGTATTGAAGTCACCGGGACCAGATGAATGTGATTACCTGATTACTGGTAGTCGTGATAGTACACTAAAGAGATGGTCATTGGCTGAAGATGGTGCGACCTGCTCTGCTACATTTGAGTCCCATGTTGATTGGGTAGGTTGCTTCTCTCTGATTAAGTGTTTATACATAACTGTGTTCAGAACTATGTTGAAGCTAACGTTTCAGGATGACATCTAAGTAAAACACTGTAACACAACAACTGTCATTGATAGTATCTCGCCTACAATGTAATGTAGGCGGCAGTGAACTTATTTTATTACTAAACCTTGGATAAGCAGGATTGTCCTGTTAGTATCCCACTGTTATATGCATTGCCTGGTGTGAGTATATAAGTAAGCAAGTGGATTTGCTATTAATGGTCTCAATTAAGTTTCTGCATCATCTGGTGTGACTGACAGTTGAGCTGCAATGTCTAGAAAGTTATGGAACTGTTTAAGGGTATATGTTTTCCGACTTACTAACTAGGGGGTATGATGATGCCAATATTAGATGGTTTAACTCTACAATAAGCTAGAGCAGGAGAAGATGTCCTAAGAAGCATAGAATGCTTTCCTAGGTCTGGACTTTTCATTTTCTTCAAGACTAAATAATATTGATTATTTGATTTTATATGTGGTACACTTTATGTATAATCTTGGAAATTTATGTTTGAAATTGCTGGGTGGGCAGGTGAACGATGCTGTCCTTGCAGGTGGTAACACATTAGTATCTTGCTCTTCAGATGCCACTGTTAAGGTTTGCGAACATCGCTGTTATGGCTCAGAATGTGTTTAACTTTGCTTATGATGTTTTTAATTCCCCTTCTCTTGGTAATATCAGGTGTGGAATTGCTTGTCTGACGGAAAATGTGTGAGGACATTACGTCAGCACTCCGACTATGTCACTTGTCTCGCTGCGGCGAAGAACAAAGTAATTTCCCTTGTCCCTTTTTCAACGTTACTACTTTCTTGAATAGCTCTTATGCCTGCTTGATAAGCATATGGAGCCCTGGTCTATTAACCCATATCAGTTTTGGTATTTTACTTCGATATATTACAGAGCAATTTTGTAGCGTCAGCTGGCCTTGGTGGAGAGGTATTTATATGGGATCTTGAAGCTGCACTTGCTCCCATTTCAAAATCAAATGATTTAGCTAAAGATGACAGCCCTACCGCGGTCAATTGCTTGGGTACTTCATTATCGAACACAAGTCTTCGGCCTATTGGATCAAACAATAACATCTCTGTGCATTCAACTCAGTCTCAAGGATATGTTCCCATTACTGCAAAAGGTCATAAAGAGTCTGTGTATGCCTTAGCCACGAATGATCACGGAACACTTCTTGTTTCTGGTGGAACTGAGAAGGTAAGTCCTGCTTTCTTTAATGATTATTGAATTGTTTGTTATGATGCTAAAGGTTCAATCTGTACATGCATATGTAATTGTGTGTGTGTGTGTGTATGTGTTTATGTTTCCTATTTCTGCCCTTATTCTTGTTTACTTAATATAGTTGAACTTTTCCAGTTATTTATGATTAATTTAATCGTAGGTTGTGCGTGTTTGGGACCCAAGAACTGGTTCTAAAAGCATGAAGCTTAGAGGGCACACAGATAATATTAGGGCACTACTGTTGGATTCTACTGGCAGGTTCGTGGGAGGGAGTAGAGTATGTTTGTACGTTTAACTGTTTCCCTTTCTGAACTGGTCTTACTCAACCATATCAATTAATGTTTTGTTTTTATAAGTCATTCCACTGTCAATCGGTGACAATGGAGTGATGAAGAAGTAGAACATACAGCCCCCCTTTCCTGCATACTTTTTTTGTACTTCCCATATTTGTGGATGTATCAACAAAGTTTAATGTTACTTGCTGATTATTTGCAGATATTGTTTATCTGGGTCTTCTGATTCTATGATCAGGTATGCATTTTTACCTCATATGTCACCAAGTATATTAAAATATGTTCTGCATCATTTTTTCTTCAGTTCTTGTTCTTTCTGTAAGTACTTCGCCACACTTAGTGTTTTTTCGCCTTTCTTAGTTTTATTTTTTAGTTATTTTACATTGACTTTTTGGGATAAATTTCAGAATTTTATCAAGATGTTCATGTGATGCGATGCATTTAATTGAAATATTATTATGCATAAACCTGAATCCAGTGTTAATTAGGGCTTGTTTTTGGTGCCTGGCTTTCTTTCTAATCTGCAAATATTGTTTGCTAAGAGTTCTTTGTCTGCTTTTCAGAGCATGTGATTTTGTTTCAGGGATGTAAGGATATACTTGTGAATGTATCTTTGTAGATACCTGATTTTTTATTTTTTGGTTCATCATACATATTACTTCCAAACCAATCATTGAAACCATGGCCGTTGATTCTTGATTTCACAGGTTGTGGGATCTTGGTCAGCAGCGGTGTGTGCACTCCTATGCTGTGCACACAGACTCTGTCTGGGCGCTTGCCAGCTCTCCAACGTTTAGTCATGTTTATAGTGGTGGAAGGGATCATTCGGTTAGTGATGCTTAAAAAGTATTGCTTTATTCATCTAATATTCTTCACCTTTTTATTCTAACTTCTATCGGTACTTCTAGTTGTATCTGACAGATCTGGCAACAAGAGAAAGTATGTTGCTCTGTAATGAAGATCATTCTATATTGCAATTGGCACTACACGATGATAGTATATGGGTTGCCACTACCGATTCTTCTGTACATGGATGGCCAGCTGAAGCACATAATCCAATGAAAGTATTTCAACGAGGTGGTTCATTTCTGGCTGGAAACCTGTCATTTTCGAGGGCCAGGGTTTCACTTGAGGGTTCCACACCTGTGAGTTTATATTCGTTTTCTCTGTTGCTTTTGGTGCACAGGCAAAATTTTGGCCTTTCCATTGGAAGATAAATTTCGATACACTGCTACTTTGAAATTGCTACATCTCCTTTTTGATAGAATAAAGCTGGAACCGGATAACTGTTCTTTTATGTAGATTCATCATTCATCTTAGGTTGTTTTTCGTGTGAAGTTGAAGCCCGCTATTTAATCAAAAATCAAATCATAGCATTGCAAACAATCTGCATCTGATGGACTAAATTGCATCATCTTTTGTTTTTTCTTTCTTTATTTTTTCTTATAACATAGTCTCCTTCTACGTACTTTTAGTTTACATTGTAGTTATGTGGAGTAAATATTTGTCGTGCTCTTATTGGTTTCCGAAAGTTACTTAGAATTGGCAGTAAAATGGTATACACTCATAGTACCAAGTATGTTGTTATGCACTCTGAATTGATGTTTTATGTTATCCCCTTGACTCCTCCACCAGACCATTTTGTATTGGCTGTATACATAGCTAAAGCTGAGAAACTCATACCCATTTTTCTTTTTAAGGTACCTGTTTGTAGAAAACCAACATTTAGCATTGATGGAACTTCGGCAATAGTGCAGCATGAGATTCTAAACAATAGAAGACATGTCCTGACTAAGGTAATTCGTTAGCCCATTCATAATTTGTATACTTAAAATAACCGTATGGCGTATAATTATTGTTTTTCTTGTAAATTTTGTGTGCCAATCTGATTGCTCTAATCTACCTTTTCAAGGACACTGCTGGCACTGTGAAGCTGTGGGAAATTACTAGAGGTGTAGTTATTGAAAATTATGGAGAGGTTAGCGTCATATTTTGGACATAATTTTTCTGCATGGTTATTTGTCTATGAGAGGACTATACGAGGTTGTGAGCCGATGACATCACACAATTCTGTTCATGAGGACTTTGACCTTTTTCCCATCTCTGTCTCAGTAGAGTCTTGCTTTCTGACTATTATGTACTTTGTTATTAGGTTTCATTTGAGAAGAAGAAAGAAGAACTATTTGAGATGGTATGGATCTTTATATTGTATTTGCTGTGTCGTGAATAGTACCATCGAGCCATTTGACATGTATGCTTGTTCAGGTGAGTGTTCCTGCATGGTTCACTGTAGATACAAGGCTTGGGAGTTTGTCGGTACACTTAGACACTCCACAATGCTTTTCTGCTGAGATGTACTCTGTTGATCTCAGCATTGCTGGAAAGCCTGAGGATGACAAGGTAATTACATAAAAATTATCTTCAACAATTCCATAAGTGCATCTTTGCTATCCAGTGAATCGTATATTACTGGTTCCTTTTAATGTGATGCACACATTGGCCGGTGCCATAAATTCTGTTCTATAAATGCTTTTGTGGCCTTTACTTTAATGGCAGGTAGTTTTAGATTTGCTAGATACGCCTGGCTTCTAATTGTTTCGTTTGTGATGATTATTTAGTAGACTTCCTGTGAATTTAATGAATTATGAATATATATATATATAGGTCAATTTGGCTAGAGAAACCCTAAAAGGACTGTTGCAACACTGGGCAACTCGACGAAAACAGAGGTTTGGATCTCAAACTTCTGCAAATGGTGAGGTTCCTTCAGGAAATGCGTTTTCTACAAGAACAGTAACATTATCTAGAGTTGAAGGCGGAGATGGTTTCATTGAAAATGATTCGACGGTGTATCCGCCGTTCGAGTTTTCTTCAGCTGCTCCTCCTTCTATTGTTACTGAAGGCACTCAAGGAGGCCCTTGGAGAAAGAAAATTACCGACCTGGATGGATCCGAAGATGAGAAAGACTTCCCTTGGTGGGTTCTTGACTGTGTGTTGAACAATCGCCTGCCTCCGAGGGAGAATAGCAAGTAATTTCCTAGTCAGTCCTTGTTATGTTTGATTTATCGGTGAATTTATAGTTTTACTTGTCCCTGAGAAGTTAGAATTGCTTCTCTGTGATACTTCATAACATGAATCCTTACGTACTTTCTTTTACCTATTTTATTCGTAAAAGTCGCTGATAAATGATTATCTTGCAGTTGCCCCCTCCCCCCTTCCTATTCTGGATTTTACTTCTGTCTTGTGCCAGTTACATGTAGTATTTGTTCTGTTGCAGATGTAGCTTCTATTTGCAGCCATGTGAAGGTTCTGCTGTGCAGATCCTTACACAGGGAAAACTTAGCGCACCTCGCATTTTGAGGATACATAAGGTAAGAATCTCCTCTGGCTAGATTAAGGTTAACATTCTTTAATTACATGTGACTACTCTTTCATTGTTAAATAATAATAATAATAAAAAAAAAAAGAAAATGAATTTAGCCTTTAGATCATGCTTACTGGTCTATTGATCAACTGGAATTAGCTTCAGTTGATCCTTGTTAGTGGTGGTTTGAATCAGAGTTTGTACTTGTTCATTATTGCCAGGGAGTGAAGTACTGAACCAAAGATTATTCCAGGAACTGAAGTACTGAATTCGTTTTTAGCACATGAGCCTTTATTCTACACTGTCCAATGATTTCAATTATAGGATAATAGTGTCAACTTACGTGATGTAGTTTGGTTTCTTATAGATCATCTGGGCTCTGCAAATAACATAAAATATGTTCATCAATTGGAGAAACTTCCTCAACACACAATAAATCCAACTGGCTGTTGCTTTTTTTTTTTTT